TTATTTCACACTGAGCAATCTTCTTTTCTGCAATTAGCCCTCTTTGCTTAAAGCGATATGAGCATTTTGTTCAGATTCATTTTAAAATATAGCTCTTGGCTACGTCTGTGTTCCTCTCACAGCTGATACTTGACAATCCGCTTCTACTGAATCACTTGATACTATATTCTTGTGTTTAATTCACTTATTTCATTTCATAGCCAAGGTCTCAACATATGTGATTGCCTGTCTTTGCCATATGACACAGGAGCATGTGCATCAGACATAGGGCTCACACTGCCACCTACTCCTGTCCCCACAAGGCCTCCTCACTTAGCAGCTCATGTGAATCAGGTCATCACTCATGGCTTCTTAAAATACATCCTCTTGCATCAAGTCGGGTCTTTGATCTTCCTGCAATTTCACAAGGCTTTCCACAATTACAGCTCTGTCATGCTAATAATCCTGGACTGCAGCACTTACTTGTAATAATCTCAAAATGATCTGTTTTGATTTATTTTAGTTTTTGCAACAGAACAAACTGAAGTGGATGTGTTAACATGTTTATCATCCGAAAGAGCATCTGTATCTTTTCTGATGCTGTGAGGAAAATAGGAACAAAAAAGGATAGTCCACATTTTGTTTCATTTTCCTGCCGTGGCTTGGGAAATGAATAGGTCCTGTTTACACAAACTGAGAAAAAGTAATTGCAGCGTTAGTTAGATACCACAGTTGTACAGTTTGAAAATGGCATTTACTGTGGTTGGCATGGGCTCTGGTGGGTATACGTTGCCCAGAGGTTTTTCATTTATAACTTGCACAACCTGACCCTTTTCCCTTTTTCCTCTCTGTAGATTATCAATTCAGTGGTATTGCTGATTCTGCTGAGTGCCCTGACTGATCCTGACCAGTACCATCTAACCAGTGCTGAATTAGGAGGTGAATTTGAATTTATGGATGATGCCAGTAAGTACAAATTGCCTGAATACTAGCACTCATTGCTTCAGTTTTATGCAACTGTCCTATCATTTCAGTAATTACTGTCCTTTAATTATTGCTTCACCTTGTTATCTTAAAGATATTTTCATTGTCAAAGGTGCATTCATGGCAGAGTTAAAACTCATTACCTACTAGTAACCTTACCTGCTACCTATTAGTAATCCATGTGCTCCTGGCTTGGCAGAGGCCAACCCTTGACATGGAGATGTTATCCCTGAGCATGATGCAAAAAGCCCCAGGGGGATTTTGCTAGACACAGCATGATACGGAGTCTCTGCATATCCCAGAACAGTGTCCTGTAGTTCCTGCACAGGCATAAGAACCCATAGTGCTTCTTATGTAACTGGCTAAATGTGTTCATTTATGTACATACTTACACACCTCCCATGTACACATGGCAGACTTGCACAAGCCTGTTGTAATAGACGGAAGTACAAATATTAACTGTATGGTCATAAGCATATTAGCAATAACACAAGACAACTTCCTTCTCTCATCAAAGGCCATAATAGAAAATCTTGATTATAGTTTCAGGGCAGGGTTGAGCTAGGCCATTTATGTCTCCTGAAAAAACTTCCTATCCATTGCAAATGTTTCTTTCTTCCATGACTGTTTCAGATTATTTGCTGATGTTTGGTCTGTTGGTTTTCTTTAACCATTCAATTTGTACCCAGAAAAGTCCTCCCTCAATGTGATTTTGATATTTTCATGTCCGCTCACAAGATTGTTACATTCAACGTTTCTCACAGTAATCTGAAACAAGGTCTCCTCCTGCTAATTACACTGGTGTCTTCCTGCTCAGAATCACACCCATCCACAGCAAAAGGCTGTAAGTCCTTCAGTAAGAATATCAGTAAGAAAAGGAATGGCCCCACACATGAGAAAAATAATTGCACCCATAGTGGGTCAGAGCTGCTGGGTATTAGTTAAGGGATGCTTATTTCCACAAGGTCTTTAGTGCAGATATGCCCAATTCAATTTATTAGAGGGCAATTGCTACTTTATTGTGTCTTCATTGAAAAACCACCTACCATTTCCAACTAAAAATCTTCTTATATAACTGGATTTAAGAAAGTAAGGACCATAGCAGATACAGATGGGCTCCTAGCTGATTCTGACATATTAAAACTGACTGCCTTGTCCTAATTCTCAGAGATTAACCTTGGTAATGACTGTCTGTCAGTGTGGTTTTATATAGCCGACATCAGAAGCCTGCCAGTGCCCAAGGCTTTAAAATTGTAATTCTGTTTTGTAATGCAATAGCTGTCAGATCAAGTACATTGGGGATTTCCAGCTACACTTGAAAATTGTATTTTCTATATTATTTTTTATGGAGGCTTCTGAAGTGAACCCTGCAAGACTGTGAAAGGATGGCTTGTGGGCCAAGTGGCCTCATTTCTATTTGGTAAAGAGAACATTTCACAGGCGGTTAAATTACGAATGAACATTTGAATTAATGTCTCCTTTTATTTTTTGCCTCCCCCTGGTTTAATGCCTTACTGAGTAAAAGCAGCTGAATCAAGCGACTGGCTTTTATAGTTACTGGAAATAGCTGGCAGGAGATAATTTTGTTCTTTTTCAAGTATAACTATATTTGTTCGAATCTGCAGAAATGCTTTCTGATAAAAAACGGACAAACTTCCACTGTCCTGCTTTTGTCTTTTTTTCAAGAGTTTCCCAGGTTAGCTGCGTGTGCTGAAATTCTTAGGTATGAAACCATGTGTATGAAATACAGGAAGAGATATCTATTTTTATGATAATGAAGGTCCCGAAGTTGTTATCTATAGGTACTTGTGTTGACAAAAAATAATGATGGAAATATTACTAACCATTATTACTAACTTTGATGCTCCTATCAATAGCAAGCAAAAAAATAATTACAATTGCCTGTGAAATTGTCACTCCCTTTCCCTTCCTCCTCAAGCAGGCTCCTTCATAACAGAGCTGAAAATATGATCTGGAAATAAACTTATCAGCTGAGTCACAGTAGTGGAATTACAGCTAACTTGAAGTTTATGACATTTCTCTTGACTTCCAAGAAACCAGGATTCCCCCAGTATTTGTATTCATATTTATTTCTGGCTGTGCTCAGGCATGGTTTATGGAGAACAGTCAATTTTCTGTTTCAGCAGTGGGAAAAACTCCTACCATGCATAGAGCCAGAGCCAGTGTAGTGCAAACTGCTTGAAAATGCCAGCGCAGCATCAGTTCTGCTAGTGGCTGCTCAGCCTAAGTTTCAGGATTTAGCATGGTTCCCAGTATGTTGCCAGATGCTCCAAAATGCCAGTTTAAATAAGGAGAGAAGGAATTTACCTGAGCACTTAAAAAAGGTTGTAGGTTATAGCTTTTCCCCTCTACTTTAGAAAAGGAAACAAGGTGGGAGGGAGAAGTCTGCCAAGACCTGCCATGCGGCAGATGGAGGTACTGGAAGACACCAGTGTGTGTGGTTTGGCTGGCTCTCTGAGATGTACATGTAGGAGCCAGGGAAAACACTGGGTTTCCTCCTGTGCTGCATATTCAACTAAGCCCATTTAGTCTCATCTTTCTTTTTATTATTTCCTTAGGGCCTGAGGGAGTTTATGAACTAGAAGCTGGACTAGGGAGAAATAGAAATGTCTGAGCTGCCCAATGTAATACTGCTGCTGTTAAAAGACTAGTAATCTCTGGTCAGGAGATGGAAGAGCCCTATAAATTGTTTCAGCTCCTCAGAGGGTTTCACCTGAACCTCCCGCTCAGCTTCTCTGGATTCTGACATGCCAACAGCCCAAACAAGCAGTGAATGTTGCTTAGTTATACTTACTGCTGTCACAGTTTCACAGATGTGTGTGATACTTCATGAGCCATATGAAAAGGACTGAAATCCAATGCGTGCCCTATCCTATGTGTGCCCTATAGGAACTGAGGAGAACTTTGACACTGATGTCAGCAGCTCAGGCCAGAATCCACCTGTGTCCCTGCCATGGGACAGGCAGACGAGACAAGCAGAGGTTTCAGGGCAAGGTAATGTGATGGTCTCTCTGTTGAACATGACATGCATCCAGGACTTAAAAAGATTAATCAAAGCAGATAAATTTAATAAGGAAACCTACAGACAGGAGGCTTGGACTTGTGTTGGGGGTTAAATGGAAGCGGTATAGGAAGTACTTTTCCTGCCCCAATCCATCACCACCACCCAGGTAGCATGAGCCCTGTCACACACAGGGAGGGGGAAAAAACTAGTTCCATGCTCCAGTATAACATATTCAGGGCTGCATCTTTCTCTCTAGCTGTATCCCCTGGAGTAAACAAGCTGGGTTCAAAGGTGCAGCAAACCCTTTCCTTCTTGTTGGCCTCCTCCTTTGCTGGAGAGAAAATGCCACCGCCACATGGCTTGTGACCCAGGAGGATGCAGGGTGGCTGGCAGCAGCAGGACTGAGCTTGCACAAGCAGTCTGGAGGAGAATGAGGCAGTAATCCTTTGCTGGCAGTAAGGAGGCCAAGCTGGTGGATAAATAAGGCTAGGAGAGTGGGCAAGACTGCTTGAGGATTGTAGGCTGCTGATCAGCAGCTTTCTGGCCCCTGCTTTTGGAGCTGTGAGCCAGTGATTAACTCCAGGGCTGGGGCAGCTGATGAGCTGGAGGATTTGAGGTCTCCATCACTCCACACAGGTCCTGGCTCAGGGACTGGTCTCGCTGGCTGCTCCTCTCTGTCCCCGCAGCACCCACCACCAGCCTTCTCTAGCCAAGGAAAGGGTAAGGCAAGGAAATGCTTGTAAATTGGGTTTGAGGGAGCTCCAGTTGCAGACCTTGCTGTGCACACAAGCACCCCATGACAGCAGCTCTGCCCAGCCCCAGTGTGGTAGGAAGGATCTAACTGCAAGGAATAAAGGAGAAAAAAAACACCCAAATGTTTCCTTTAAATCCAAGCAGAAAACTCAAAAACTCTAGGACAAGAGGCTGTATAATCATAGCATTGGTCCAAGTACAGCCCTTCTATTAGCCATAAATGCAACAGACAGTACAGCATGGCTAGAAAAGAAATCACACACCTCTGTTAGCTTCTCATTTAATGTGCTACATATCTATTTTTGTTCTGATTAATTGAAGCTGACACAACTCAAAAATCCAATGAAGCCTTAAATGAGAAAGAACCAGCTTAAGCTAACTAGGACTTGGCACAGCGGAGCACAGCTAGAGGGACAGTGGGGATGGAGAACATGAATATGTCAGGCCAGAGCCTCAATGTCAAGTTTATTGCAGTTGGCTAGGTGCTGGCTCTGAAGCAGTACTGCTGCGGTCACGAGCAGGGTGAGGCCTGTGACTGCTGCATCTGCTGCAAATGACAATGACAGCAGCTTGGGTACAGTGAGTAGGTGGCTGGGATTAAGAAGGGACAGAATAAATACATGAGCAGCGCCTTCAAACTGGTGGTTAGAATGAAAATATCGATCCAAAGAGCCTCTTTTACAGGCTGTTCAGTTGAGGTTGGTGGCTACAAGCAGCTATTTCCACTTCTCTCCTTTTCTTTCATTACTGCAATTGTACTTGGTCTATTCAAAATCATTTTGATTTCACAGGATGTATGTGGGTAACCAGAGTAAAAGACCACACAGTTATGTGAAGAGGTTTCAGTACTTTTTATTGATACAGGTTTCTTTTGTGGGTACTTCTTCCTCTTGAGAGCAGAATTTAGATCACCCCTAACAACCACAGCACATCCTTATAGCTCCTAAAAAGATGGAGACTGATTATGGCAGTGCAGCTCAGATGCTTGTGCTGGATTGTCTAGATTCTCTACCCAGTCAAAGAGGAGAAGGAGGTGCCAGTGAAGAGCAATTTGGGATGAAGAGCATTTTGGGATACACTGAGATGTCATCCCCTCCTGAATTAGGAGCAGGGATCCCAGCTACCTCTTAATGGCATTTCCAAGCACCCACAAGCCAAGCTGCATAAAGCCACCAGGTAGGAAACTGGGAGCAGGGGTGTAGCTAACCTCAGCACTGAGTGCTGATGCCTCTCCTGGGTGAGACCTGCTACTTTTGACCATAAGACAAACATTGAAGCAAGTAAGGTCATCTGGACTTCAGGCCCTCATCAGACTACAGTGGTTTAAATGTGCTCCTCCAAGAGCCCAAGAAAGGGGCCCCATCCATTAAATTAGGAAGTAGCACACAATAGGGCTTCTTCTGTTGCATTTGAGTCCCTGTGCAAGGGCAAAATCTGGGGGCAAGAGAGAGAGAGCAAGAGGCCTGAAACCCAGACACAGGAAGTGTCTTGGAAAAGAGGAGACCTAGGTTCCTAGTTCCCTGATCCTGCTATTGGTAGGCATGGTTCACAAGGAGCCTGTAGCCTAACATACGTAAGCATGTTATGCTGGATGATGCCCTTGCCAGCCAACAACAGCCTCCTCTTGCTCATTTTTCTGCCGGCTTCACAAGTCTCAGGATCTTCTCTGCATCAAGGGCCAGCAGAAATCTGGTTTAGTGCTGGTAGAAGCTGTAAGATAGAGCAAGGCAGAGGGGGATCAAAGTCCAGCTCCTTTAATTTTCTACATGCATGATTGTACTCGTAGACTGGAAAAAATGACAGACAGGACTTAGGGCCTTACCCTCCTCTTCAGCCATAAGCTGGTGAACCTGTGCTGCTGCCTGGTAGTGGTAGGTCCACAGCCACCAGATCTGGACATTCAATGGGACTTTGATAAAGGCTTCAGGACACCTGCTCAGAACCTCATTTTGATGTATCCAGGGAGGTGGAAGGACTGTCCCATGCTGTGGGATGCTCCTCATCATGTGCTGGAGTTGGATGTTGTGTCAACTCTGTGATCAAATGGAGGCATCTTCACACTTTGAATGCCTCCAAAGTCAGACAGTGATGGGTAGTGAAGAGCCTGAACATTGTTATGTATCTGTGTGTCTCAAGTCCACCACAGGTCTCACAAGGCAGATAGTTTAAATGCACCTGGTGACAGCAGTGTGAACAGCAGGTTCCTCAGAGGTACCAGGAGAGGTGGGATCTCCAAAGTGATGCCCTCTACACCTCAAATCCTCTCTCCTCTTTGTGCACTGGTTTAGCCTCAGAAAAGTAGTTGCAATGTTCAGTTGTGTTCCCAAGCTCACTATAAGGTTGGACTCAGAAATATGCTTTTGGTATCCTGGCTCTGGCCTGTAATAATGATATCAATGATATATGAAAAGATAAAACATACATAATTTCCCCCCCCCATCTCCTTCCAGCAGTTTGTGGCTTAGGAATTTCCTATATCTAATGAAAAGTTCAGTGAAAGCTGAGCAGCAATAGAAAAAAAATAGAGTCCTGTAATTACTCCAGCCAAAACCTTAAAGAATATTTTCCTTCCTCTACTACTTCACCTTTCCTGACAGTTACACATCTTCATTCATAAACTGTACATCTCTGTAGTATTCTTGGTTGGAATAGAAATTTCCAAGGTGTTATTTCTGCTCTAAGATGCCTCTACCTGCCAGTTTTGCTTTTAAAAATTCATTTCTCCTTTTCCAGAGTTCTTAGAGATATCCAAGCAAAGATACACAGCAGCTACTAGTGCAAAATCAATCTGTAGCGTAGGAAAGCAGACACTTTCTGACTACAGATGTTCTCACCACCAGCAAAATAGTTTTCTTGTCAAGACTGCTGCTGATTTTTTTTTAAATCCTCAGAAAAAAACAAACCATTCATGGCATCTCCACAACCTCAGAGGGGCTGCAGAGTCTTGCACAGTGTAATCGCTGTCTGTACTTCTCATAAGAGCCACAGATTTCCTCCAGCAATGGCTGAATATGCACCTGACTCCCATCTCCACCCGCTTTCCACCCTGCTCTTTGGGATGCTCTGCATCAGGTAGAGGGCAGAATAATTGAACCAAGCTCTGAATTTATCTGCAATCATTTTGATGTGTTTCTCTTCCAGATATGTGCATTGCCACAGCAATTTCTCTTCTTATGATTCTGATCTGTGCAATGGCTACATATGGTGCATATAAGGTAATTCATTATATTTGATGAAGACATGAATCAAGTGAAATGTAAAACCCGGTAGAAACAAAATTAAGAAAATTGCTTTCTAATGATGTCTGGCTTAGTTGTTTAGCTCAAAACTGAGAGGGAAAAAAAAAGTCAAAGAGGCAGCAGAACTGATTGATTAGATTGATGGTATCCCAGGGCCCTGTGCTGCAGGCAGGAAGAGTGCCCAGTTGTGTTGAGTGTCTGCAGTTTCAAATATCAGTAAGCTCTGGGCAAACTGGGAATTCAGAGAACTAAATCTTGTACCCACCAAAGTTAAGGGATTATTTTCCCCATTCACCTGCCAAGCCTGTGCTTTGTCTCAGTATTATTCCTATTGATTAGAGGAGAAAAGAATCATGTGGTTTCTAAATATCCTATTATAACGAGTTGTGGGCTTACAACACACATATTACTGCAGTTCAGGAGCCAAACTGGCTTGGCCAACCTTTTTGGCTGAATACCCAATTTCTTTTAGCTGATCTAACACTGCATTTTATCAAATATTCCTTACAGTTTAGTGCAGAAATACATATATCCTTCTACTTTAACTTGTGGTTGGTTTTGTTTTATTTCCTTTAGCAACATGCAGCTTGGATCATCCCTTTCTTCTGCTACCAGATCTTTGACTTTGCTCTCAACACATTGGTTGCCATCAGCGTACTCGTCTATCCCAGCACAATTCAGGACTACCTCCGCCAGCTGGTAAATCACTCAATGTTCACAAGCCTTTAAGGTGGGGGGGAGGCAGGGGAAATGTGCAAGATGCACTGTTTGTCCTCTAATTCTAGCCCACGATTTGCTGTTGACTTACTATGCAGTCCTTGAAAGTCCTCTCAGTCCTTGCTAGCGTGTGTTCAAGATCCCTTGCAAGGTTACATTACTAGCTTATTACAGTATTTGTGCAGAGCTCTGGAGTTCTGCAATATCGTGGAAGCTCTCAACACCACTTCATTTAGAATGAGGCTCATATTGCGAGACATAGATAATAAATAATTGCTTTTGGATTCAGAGTTATTGTGTTCCTATACATGGCTTATTTTTGGTACTATTTCAAGGATGTTTTATTGCTCCTTTTAATTCATTTTGTGGCTTTAATGCAGATTTCGTTAGGCAGGAGTTCAATGTAGGTTTGGTTTTGCTAAAAAATATGTTTGGATCCTGTCTTAGGGACAACCAGAGGCTCCCTTATTGCTGTGGTCTGCTTTGGCCAAAGATCCATAGCCATTGTGTAGACTTACAGGGTATGATTATAATCACCTAAAGTAAAGGCAAGAGCCCGTGACCCTCTGTCTCATCACAGGATCACATGCCATGTCCAGCAGGCTTCAGGTGGAGCAGGAGATCTTAAGAGAAGCCAACACTGCAGCTGTCTCTGAACATCTGCCTTGAAAACCTGAATATAGATTATCTTGGCTGTGAACTTTGTTATGTGGATGAAAAACTAGTTAGGGCAGTATAAAAGGTGTTCCACAGGTGTCCTCAGGGCTCAGTACTGGGGCCAGTTCTATTAATATCTTTATCAATGATCTGGACAAGGAGATCGGTTGCACGCTCAGTAAGTTTGCAGCTGACACGAAGCTGGGCTGGAGTGGGCTTGAGGGTAGGAATGCTCTGCAGAGGTGTCTGGACAGGCTGGATGAATGGGCTGTGGCCAGTTGTATGAGGTTCAACAAGGCAAAGTGCTGGATCCTGCACTTGGGCCACAACAACCCCATGCAACGCTACATGTTTGCGGAAGAGTGGCTGGAAAGCTGCCCATTGGAAAAATACCTGGGGGTGCTGATTGACGGAGCTGAACATGAGCCATCAGCATGCCCAGGTGGCCAAGAAGGCCAATGGCATCCTGGCCTGTATCAGCAATAGTGTGGCATCAGGGCCAGGGAAGTGATTATCACCCTGTACTTGGCACTGGTGAGGCTGCATCTGGGCTCCTCACTACAAGAGACATTGAGGTGCTGGAGCAGGTCCAGAGAAGGGCAACAAAAGCTGGTGGTGGGTCAAGGGCACAGGTGTTACGAGGAATGACTGAGGGAACTGGGGTTGTTTAGCCTGAGAAAAGAAGGCTCAGGAGGGACCTTATTGCTCTCTACAACTGCCTGAAAGGAGGTTGTAGTGAGGTAAGTGTTGGTCTCTTTTCCCAAGTAGCAAGTGACAGGACAAGAGGAAATGGCATCAAGTTGTGCCATGGGAGGTTTAGGTTTGGTACTGGGAAAAATTTCTTCACCGGAAGGGTTGTCAAACACTAGAACAGGCTGCACAAGGAAGTGGTGGAGTCACCATCCCTGGAGGTATTTAAAAGACGTAATTCTGTGATTCTATGAATAACAGATAATAAGAAACAGGAACCAGGTAAGTAGCCACACAGATCTGCTAGAAGAGGCAATGTGTCAAGCCAGAGGGAGCTAGGATGTGTCAGAGGCCTGTTATCCTTCACCAGCACTCACCTGCATTCACAGCTGCTGGTACACTGGAAGAGCAGCAGAGGAATAATTCAAAAGGTTCTCAGAGATATGAGTGGAAAAGAGCAAATTATGTCATCTTGTCAAGTGCTTGAAGCTGGCACTGCCACTGGCTGGAGGCCTTCTGTCCATCCTTTGCCTGCAGTTCCTTTCTCCTGCATCAGTGCCAGCCCTGCTTCTGTGGCAGCACAAGCATCTATTTGGCTGCAGGAATTCTCCCCTCTTCAGAGCAGGAATTGTAACCAGGTTTTACTCAGTCTTGGTCACTGGGAGAACATGAGGGGTGCAGGAGCAGGCTGGGAGCTACGCACCAAAAAGCCCCTGCTCTTCTGCTGGAAACCTAGTGCCACATTTAGAGCTGGCTCACTAGAAGGGCAAAAAGCAGCTGATTCTCCTGAAATGTCTGCTAAACATCACTGTCGTTCCTGCAGATAGAAGAAATAATAGGCACTTCTGTAGCAGGCTTGGAAGGTATTTGGAACAGTTCAGCAGAGCATGGTGTGAGCCACATTGCTGCTCTGGAGCATTAAAATCTCCGGTTGCATAGATCTCTGTCTTGCTGTTGTAAATCATTTTCTGGACTGGTAATGAAATGCTGCAAGACTTCAGGAGTGCTCAACTGTCAGTGCTCAAAAGGGCAAGGGGGATTTCCAGGATAATTATAGGCTGATTAGCTTGACATTGCTACCAAGCAGAATAGTAACAGGAGGGCTGAGGAAAGTCAATTGGTAGAGGATTAGACATGAGGAATATGAGGAACGGTTGCCAACATGGTTTCATGGAAGATCAGTCTTGCAGGCAAACTCATTTTCTTTCACTGACAGAATTACTGTCTTTGTCAATAAAGATGGGCAGGGGCATAATAGACTTCCATAAGACATTTGACATTGCAGCATGATGTTCAAAGCAACAATAAAACACTAGATCGATAAAGGACGTATCAGGTGGATTAGGAGAGTTTAGCTGGCAAACTGCAATGGGTTATGGTCATGCCAACTATCTGCCAAAGAGGTTCTATTTTGGGTAGAGGAAGGTCTCCAGGAATCGGCAGTAGATTTCATGCTCTTCCTGACTTCCATTAATGAAGTTGATACCAAACAGGCAGTTCACAGAGGCTAACGTCAGCCTTGGGAGAGCTTCCCCAGGCTCACTGTCTACAGCAATCAAATTCTCTAGCTGGAGATTGCAAGCAGGAGCCTAATCTAACTGTTCTGCGTCATCCTCTGAAAGACTCTGCATTGCCCAAAGTGAGCACATTGGCATTTCACAGAGGCTGTACGTGTGACTTTTCCCAGCAAAATCACTTCTAGTATAACCCATGGCTGACACAGAGATTAATGACAAAGTAAATAAGAGTAAGGACAGAGCCATTAACCAGTGAGTTAGAGTGACTGAGAGCCTGAGTTCAGTCACTAATGGGTGCTACGCTGCTAAAAGCAAAGAAATGTGAAAACATGAGGAATACAGACAAGCATGCTATGGCAACTGTACCTGGGATGCAGTGACACTGTAAGTAGTCTAGGGAACTAGGTGTCGAAAGAAGAGTACCCAGGGTTGGCTTTTTTTTGCTGTTTGCAGAAACTGTTCATAGGATTTGTGGACAGATGAAAACCAGCAATTAATAGTAATAGAGAGGAGACTTCCTTTCTCACTTGGTGACATAGGTTTCATCTGTATGTTTGTGGTGTCTGTTTGCAAAGCAGTAATTAAAAGTTAGAGAACATTAAGAAAAGTTCCTCCAAAAACTTTATAAAATCTGGCTACATTGAAGTATGATGGGAGACAGTCAGCTTTTCCTGCTTCCTTTACTGAGAAAGGTGACCAAGAGGTGGTGCCATTAGAGTTTTCATATGCAGAATGAAAAGCATTAAAAGGCTGTTTAAATTAGATGTGAGGCACAGTGAGTAGCTAAACCTAGTCCAAATTAAGTTAATTTCGAAACAAGAAGTTGTTTCTATTTTACCATTCACAGTGGAGATTAGTGATTGGCAAAAACTAACAAGAGCTGTAATGAATTTTGTACAGCTAATGTCACCTGTTAACAAAGTTTTGAAGCTGTTCTGCATCTGCGTTGGAGCTGTTTATGCCTCCTGTGTCTTAGCGTGGTCCCAAGCACAAGCAGCTCAGCAGGAACCCCTCATATCCTTACCTGGAAGGGCCACATCAGCTGGCAGAAGGTTGTTGTGTTTGGTTCAGAGCAAATACACTGTGTCTGAGGGGGAAAAGCAAAAGGGAGAGATCACATCCACTGGTATCAGATACTCACACACACAGTGAGATGAAGCTAAAACCAAGCTTTTCAAACTTTTAGCAGTAATGCTGTCATTGTAGTCCTAGCACTCAAACATTGTTAAATGAACAGGCTTGTACCCATGGACTCCAGTAACGAGCGGTGTCCCTCAGGGATCGGTGTTGGGATCGGTCTTGTTTAACATCTTCGTCGCTGACATGGACAGTGGGATTGAGTGCACCTTCAGCAAGTTTGCCGATGACACCAAGCTGTGTGGTTCGGTTGATACACTGGAGGGAAGGAATGCCATCCAGAAAGACCTCAACACGCTTGTGAGGTGGGCTGATGCCAACCTCAGGAAGTTTAACCATGCCAAGTGCAAGGTCCTACCCCTGGGTCGGAGCAATCCCAGACACAGCTACAGGCTGGGCAAAGAAGAGATTCAGAGCAGCCCTGCGGAGAAGGACCTGGGGGTGTTGGTCAATGAGAAAATGAACATGAGCCAGCTTCCGTGTGTGCTCACAGCCCAGAAAGCCAACTGTATCCTGGGCTGCATCAAAAGGAGTGTGACCAGCAGGTCAAAGAGGGTGATCCTGCCCCTCTACTCTGCTCTTGTAAGACCTCACTTGGAGTATTGTGTGCCGTTCTGGTGTCCTCAACATAAAAAGGACATGGAACTGTTGGAACAAGTCCAGGGGAGGGCCACGAGGATGATCAGGGGACTGGAGCACCTCCCATGTGAAAATAGGCTGAGAAAGTTGGGGCTGTTAAGCCTGGAGAAGAGAAGGCTGCATGGAGACCTATAGGGATGCTGGGGAGGGACTCTTCATTAGGGACTGTAGAGACAGGACAAGGGGTAATGGGTTAAAACTTAAACAGGGGAAGTTTAGATTGGATATAAGGAGGAAATTCTTTCCTGTTAGGGTGGTGAGGCACTGGAATGCGTTGCCCAGGTAGGTTGTGAATGCTCCATCCCTAGCAGTGTTCAAGGCCAGGTTGGATGAGGTTGATATGGTTTAGTGTGAGATGTCCCTGCCCATGGCAGGGGGGTTGGAACTTGATGATCTTAAGGTCTTTTCCAGCCCTAACTATTCTGTGATTCTATGACTTGTTTCCCTACCTTTTAATAATGCTTATGGTAGATAAGTTTGGCATCTGAAACACCATGTTTAGAACAAGATTGCAGTCAATACCTTTGTACCCATAGGTGAGACCTGAGTCATGCCAGTTGGGTGTGATCCCTCCTGATAATTTATAAATAAGCCCTAGAGTCATCTTGGCCTCACCCGCTTTGCAGAAGTCTGCCAAGGTAGGCAGAAAACAAGGGTTGTATTTTTTCATGGCATTCAGATAGTTTTTGTTCCTCTAAAACTGCTTTGAATTTGGTGCATGATGTTTTAGGGAGCACAGCTCCATAAGGGAAATGAAAAATCCTGACAGTTCTTCAAATCCATTATTGAATATCTGGAAGAAGGTGTGCATTATGTGATGGAATATATTTGGCAGTCTTAGAAGAACATTTCTTTCTTGCTCAAAGGTGAAAACCCCATGTCTTTAACAGTTTCTACTTCCCTATGTTAGTGTTTGGGATTATGTTATCTATTCACTTTGGCCCACATCTCCTAGATTTCAGTCTAATCAGTGATGAGTTACAAGCTGCTGTCAAACCCTCCATATACTTTTAGCAAGATGATAAATAAGTACCTATCAGTAGGTGAGGCAGAGCCCCAGCTTCAAATGTTGCAATTGTAAAATACAGAACATCATGTTCACAGGGTATTTGGTAATGTCAGCCTACACTGGCTGCTGATTTCAGAGGCACATCTGTCTTTGGAAACTTTTTGTTGCCTTTTGATACCCAATTGAACACAGGTGTGCCACCTAATTCCCATAAATTGCAAAAGCATCTCAGCATGAAGAGATGTTATAAACTCATAAACCTCACATTTGAAATGTGTGGCAATGATGTGGTGAAACTTTCTGAGGGTTATGTTGGACATCTTGGTCATTATCACTGTCACTAGAAAAACAAAAACCTTCACACATGGTAAATCCAGGATGTGTAAATCAAAAATGATTTTGGTTCCTGCAGCAGTAATGATCTAAAGCAGTTTGACCTAAAACACATTTCTTTAGCCACACTAAATCTTTGGTATATGGGATTTCTAAAGTCTCTAAACATTTCACGTTCTGTCAACTGATAACAGTATTTGAAATGAATTGAAGCAGAGGTGCAGAACAGGTGACTGCAACTGAGTAATGTGAACTTGGTTTTTATTAAAGCAGAGGCCTATGACAGTTCATCTAAATAAAATTTTAGAGTCTATTAAATAGCTTTTCTATGGGACTACCTCCAGTGTTACTGTTTAACAATTCCGGTGGTTTCAGTCATGCTTTTAAATCCCAGGGGAAATATCTAGAGAATGTAAAAGACATTAAACCTAAAGAAAAGTTTCCTATAAACTAAAGCTTAAATAAGGAATATCCTTTCTGACATTCTTAAAACCATTTTATAATTCCAAAGAAGTCCTGCTAACTTCTAGCAGAGCTTTAAAAGTTCTACAGACACATTACCATTTTCTTTCGGGTTTGTAAGATGCGAATACTCAGAGGATTGTAACTGCTGAATGAGAATCTGTACCATCTTTTTAAATGGATTTTTGTGGTCCGAGGGAAGAAAAGCATTATGCAAGCAGGCTGAGGGAATGACAAAGTGCTTCAGCCTTGAACTTTTCTTCTTGTGCATTTCTACAATATTGATGCAGTAGAAATATGAATTCCATGCAAGTTTTAGATTCTTTTTAGGTCCCTAATAGAGCTTTGCTATGTATAATTTTTTTTTAATGGAAAGTTTACCAGGTATATTACGCATGCTGGCCTCTTCATGTCCATGACAAGGTTATAAATGACGCTTTAATTATGAAATTAGCATGCCAGTGCCACACTACTACAACAACATCTTGTTTGTATGGGAAATTTCATCATGTTCTGCTGCAAAATCACTCCTATGTTTCCAGTGAAGGGCTTGATTTTTCCCTCCCAGCCGTATTTCAGTCTTAGCTCCATCAGACCTTGCACAAGATCTGACACTGAGCTTTTCCCTGATGTTGCAGCACTGAGCCAGTGTCTAGGGCCTTCCAAGCAGCAGGATTTCAACTACTGGTCTCCTCACAGAAGAGCAAACCCTGAGCACACAGGCAGAATTTCTCTTCCTATCTCATACACCTACATTGGTGTTTAAGCTTATCACTGGAGTAAGCAGAATTCAATGGGTCTCTGTTTCATCTGAACCACTGTTGGTACCCATTTTCCATGAGAGTGAATGTTATTTTCAGAGCCGATGCTGCTGTGGGAGGGTCCCAAGGGCCTCCTGAAGGTAACATCTCCATTGTGGTGCCTGGAGCTAGCCAAGATGCTTCCCACCATCTTTCCTGCTTTGCAAAAGCCATAGGATTTATAAATTACTTTTCCTACTGCACTGAAGGGATTTGTAGTTGTGAGTCAAGATCAGACTGCTCATAGGCCAGCCTGGGCAAGCCAGTGTTAGGCATCTTCCCGCGGGCAGATGCCACCAGCCGGGTTAGCAAACAAAGGGACTTTCTTCCATGTTGACCTGATGCCCTTGGGCTATTCACTGATGCTGTGAAAGCTCGGTCTCCCACACAGCAACCCGGGAAGCTCCAGGAGGGACTGCTTCAGTTTTGCAGCCTGCACCTAGAACTCCCGGGCACTGTGGTGGAGGTGACCGCTGCATGGCTGCAGCACCCGCTGCCTTGCTGGGGCTTGCTTAAACCTTGCATCACTTCAGAACAGAGGTGCAGAGAGCAGAGCCTGAAGGGGACAAACCACAGCATCTGTTCCTCATGTGCTCTCCTGGCTTGTGATTCTGGTGCTAAATTTTTGTGCTTTTACCTGAACACTGCTGCTGTAAGGAAGGGGCAGGCGCTGCTCTACAGCACATGCTGCTCCTGCCTTATAGCTCATGGCTCCAGCATATGTTCCTTCTCTTTAAGGTAGCAGGAACTTTCTTGGTCATTTTCCTGCCCTCCTCTCGGCCCCATGCAAATCCCAGTTGAGCTGACATCTGGAAACAGGCCTTTAGGTTATGGCCAAGACCCCAGCATGCAGTCACCCAGTGTTTGACTGATGACTGGTTCCCAGAAACCAGTGTGTAGGAGGACCAAAGCCTCACTAGGAGTTTTTATTACATTCACAAACTAGTTTGACTATTGTTTTAATGGTCAGTCAGTATAAAAAAATCATTTTGGAGCAGTTTCATTGTAACTGTCCTTAACTGATTAAACTTTCTAACCACGTGCATGGCCTCCCTCCTGCAAGCAGGAGGGCAAGCTGTGGTGTTAATACTTACATTTTCTGCATATAAGGTTTGTGTTTATTTTTCAGTTAGTCTTTTCTTGGCATATACTCTTGCTTTCTTCGTCTCTGGGTGACCGCATCCACTATATTTAGCTATAACCCTCTGTCAAAGAAAAAAAATAATTAAAAAAAGAAGAGCAACTTACTGAATTATACCAAGCTAATGTCTTACAAAAGCTGTAGCTCAACAAAGAAGATAACATGATAAAAACTCCAGCCATGAAATTTGGTACAGGAACAGAAACATTGCTGTCAAGAAGCGGAAAATGTGCTTATGTAACATTATCTGCAAATGGTTACAGCTGCTGTTGATGTTAACCACTCTGAACAGGTCATGGACACGCTAAATAAAGAGCCATTCTCACTAACAGCTGTCCACAGAAAGATGATTTCCCGATTCAGTGGGCTGACTGCTGGTATAAGGGGTATTAAGGGGTTACTCTGTATTTACATCATCATTGCCAAGAATACAGCTATAGCTTGGTCTAGTTAATTGTCCTGACAAGGATGCAGAGCTGGCCTGGTTAAGTAATTAGACCTGTAAGGGAAAAGGGAGTTGTGTGTGGAAGGAGCTAATGCATTCAGTTATAATGAGCTACTGTTGCAGCAAAGCTATCTTTTGTGAACAATAGTTTATTCTAACCGAAACAGGAACTTGTGCCTTGTGATATTTCAAAGTGATTTGGAACATTTGTTTTAGAGGTTGTGTTTTCTTGAAGTAATAACAAGAACTACAAGACAGTAAGACATCTTCAGAGGCTGTTTTTCAGCCAGTGATCTTAAAGCGTTTCACAATTGTAAATCACTAGAGCCTACGCTAGGTGCGAAGATTAGTTTTGTTACCTCCATTTCATGTATGAGATAAGAGAAGGACCTGGGGCACATTTCAGTTTGAAATCATGTCGTTGCTCCACTGTAGGACCCATGCCTCCTTGGGGCACGCACTCAGACAGCAGCACTAACAAGTGTCCTGGAGAAGTAGTCCAAATTTAGCCAAAACAAGATGGAGCAGAATAGACCAAATGCCTTTTGATCAAATATTTAGGTGAAAGGATTGCAGTGTTCAATTTTTCCTGCTTTGATTTTCTGGAAGGAACTACCACGTTGGCAACCAGTGCCAGTATAATGATTACTTAATAAGTACAGAACTTGCCTGCCATTGCCCATGATGGCAGGTTTTCTGCTGCAAAGCTCAACAAGAGATGTCCTTTGCTGGTTTGTGTCAGATACAAACCCAGTGTGCAGAAAGGAGAAGACAGCCCATGCCACATACAAAGCAAAAAGTAGATCCTCAGCCCTCCAGGAAACGTTTGGCAGCTGAGCCTTCCCAATGTGTCCCAGCCAAACTCACTGAAACTGGTTTTTGGTGTGACGAGCTCCTTATTTAGTAGATCATAGAAAGTTTTGTAAGCTGTTAATTATAGAGTGCACTAATTGAATGGCTCCTGAATGACTTGTGAGATTAACTTACAGTGGTTTGCTTCTTTTCGCTTATGCAGCCCACCAATTTTCCCTACAAGGAAGAGATTATGTCTGTGAACCCTACGTGTCTGGTTGTGATTATCCTCCTTTTCATAAGTATCATTTTGGCTTTTAAGGTAAGTACATTACTGTGTATAATGTCTACTCCTGGTCCTGGATGGAATGTCCCTTGCTTGGGGGGCCTGGCTTTAGAAGAGATCTGTGGAACTGCAGACCAGGCAGCCTGACAGGTGTACAAAGCATTATGGAAAAAAGGCAGAAAATCTCATAGACAAACACATGAACATATAGGCCTCAGTGGGGAAACGTGATGCTGTAGGGGCAACTCATAAATCCTTTGAAGGAGCAGGTTGTTCAGTGGGCAAGGGAGAGCCTGTTGATACAGACTTCCTGTTTTTTCAAAAGGTCTGTGGCAGAGTCTGTCATCAAAGGCTTTAAAGGCCACCCTCAGATGTGTAGGGACAAGAGAAAAAGTCATCTCACAGACCACAGCTAGGAAATAGAGAATAAGGATAAATCACTGCTTTTTACAATAGCAAGACTCATGCTCATGAAAGATCTGGGAAGGGGAAGGAAATCTACAGCCACACTTTTTGCAATGTCATTCAAAACAGAGAAAACAGCCAGGAAAGCTTTGCAGAAAGAGCTCATGGCACTGAGTGACTGGGCAGTGAAATGGCAGAGAAGCTCAGTGGTGACAAATTCCAAGTGGTGGACACAGAGGAAGCACAATCTTGTTTTGCAGACACTGCAGTAGGCTCTGAACTCAGCATGACCACCTGGAAAAGGGATCGCATAGCTGTAATAGCTAGACCTGTGAAAATATTAGCTTACTGCTCAGTTCTGATCAACCAAGTAAAAAAAATGCTAAGAATATAAAGAAAGGAGTAGAAAAACCAGAAATCTAAAGATTTCTTTGCCAGTTTTGATGCCTATCACCTCTGGAAGTATGCATTTACTTCTGGTGCCTTATCTCAAAAAGGAGCAAGTAAATAGATCAGATAGTAGAGCAGGTAAATAGATCTACAAATAGTAGAGCAGGTAAATAGATCAAAACAATCCCTCCTGGGCGGGACAATGTAAAGGACTGTCACACCAGACAGCAAAAGGACACAGGGAGTGATGATTTAGTTGCTGTTAGGTAAACCTCACGGGTGAGGCTCTAGCTGTGGTAGATACCAGATAAAGGGGAGATGTAGCATCCCCCAGCACAGCCGGAAAGGGCTCACGTGAAACCACTGCACCCAGGTTTCTGGTCCAGCAAGGCCCATCCCCTCCTGCTGTGCAGGGCAGAAGTCCACAAGGAGCTCAGAATAAGATCACACAAATCAACATATGAAAAACAACCATCTGTGGCTGAACAAGTCCCTGAGCCTTGGACCTCCTGCAAAGTACGCTGGTATGTTTGCCCTCTTCTTGCACCCTCCTGCAAGTTTCTCACAGTGCAGTGCTGCCGCTCTTGTATTTCTTGTGTTGGGTTTTATTTCAGAATAGTTCTTGCTCTTTCTCTGCAGAGCAATTACACATTAGACTAGAGAAGTCCTGAAGAGCCACAGCGACACCAGGGATGTTGCTTCCAGACAACACATTTGACAACATGAACAGGGAAAGTTACTGTGACAAAAGAGGTAGATTAGATTATTGAAGATGCTTCAAAATTGAAGGAAAAGAACCTAAAACCAGCAAACAGGGTATTTTAAGGTACTGTTGGAAGTGGTCTTCAATTTTTTTTGTCATTTAGAAATATAATTTAGCCTTCTGGCTTTATGTGTTCACATCCATACAGCTGATTTTTTTGCACCTTTAGGAAATATGAATGAATGTGATAAACACGTAGGTGTGTCAGGTGCCACAAGGGATGTGCTCTTAAATTTCTCAGATGCAAGCATTAGCTCATTTTTACCCCAGGCTGGGCTGGTATTTTGTTGACCTAAGTATGGCAGGGAAGTCCTAAGCTTATAAAGTGGAACTAAAACTGGAATGGCAAAAATACTTACTTCAGAAGAAAGAAACCTAAGAAATTAATAGCAAAAAAAGACTAGTTTTGTTTTAAAGTGGCAAACACGTTTTATGTTTTTTCCAAGAGTATATGTGGTTCATATAATGCTCATTCTAGCAACATATTATCATGCAAATGAATGACAAAAATCATGACTCATGCAGAAACACATGCTAAATTATACTTAGTATTTTCATTTGAATTTCTTGTGTTCCCAGAAGAGCTGCTATGCAGATTTATGTAGTCTGCTCCATGAAAAGAAAGCTGGACACTATGAGATGCATCACACTTTATCACTGATAGACTTAACAGATGGTACCACATTTATGCTTTGAAACTGAAAAGGTACTGTGCACAAAAATATGCTTGAGCTCCCTCTCCCTCTGGAGTTCAGCTAGGAATAAGGAGAGAAACCAAAACATTGTAGCCTAGGAAAAGCTACAGTAGTAAAAGCTGCATTGAGCTGGTGGGAAATACGAAACAGAATCACGTAACTCCTTAGAAACATTTGGAATCATTATGCTTTTGTTTTGAGTGAAGCTACATGTAAAGGAAGGCACTGTTGAGCAGAAATCAAGTTATAGCAGTATTATATGGTGGGTTTGTGCTTTGCAGTAGTGGGATTACAAAAAGGGAAGGGGGACAAGACAGGGTAGCAAAAAAGGGAGCCAGCTAGCTACATATAAGCACTTGTCTTTTTAGTCCTTAGGATTTACTTGGATCTGAAGCAGATAATGGATATTCCAGGTGCTTTCATGCAGAATCTTTTTCAGGATAGACCAAAATGCGTTATGCCATTTACTGTGTTTGTTTAGGAACTGAACCAGAGTTACATACCATGAAACATATGTGTTTCCTACCTGGCTGAGGAAGGACATCCAGCAGCACAAATGTATTTATATATATGTACACAGGATTTCAAACAGCATATGGCCAACATGGTGGTTTTTGAATCATGCCTTCCTCTGCAGCTGGTTTGGAGAACAGGGGCTTCGTTTCCTCTGGCCAGTCCCAGCTGCTGAGACAGAATGGTTGAGGCTTCAACGTCTCCCTCCTCACCCTGGCCAAAGATACCAGGCCCAAATGAGCTAAGCTCTGGTGAGCACAAACACAACCAGAACAGGTTTCCCTGAGTACTCTGCAGCTGCAGAGTATTGGACTCTTCTGGCCCTTCTTTTGCTGGAAAGGAGATAAGAGGAACTAGTTGCCAGTGGGACAGCTAAAAGGTATTCCAGTTCAGTGAGACAGGCTGGTCTTCACCAAATGCAATATTAACCCTGATCTCCGTAATATGCCTATAACATGCATGCACAAGGTGGTGGGCCTGGAGATGAGACCACTGTGCATGTTCTGGTGTCATCAGCAAATGGGAAAGGGTAATGTAGAATGAAGTTCTGTGCTCATCCTGAGACTTTTCATGCCCAAGGGGGATGGCTCCTGGCAGGGAGAACCCTGACCTGCAGCACATCACCCCAGTGTGTGCTACCTTCCTGCACCAATGATGGAGCAGCCGTCGGGACACAAACACAGCCCTATCAGCCAAGCTCTGATCCCTGCTCCCAGGAATGGCCAACACAGAGCCATGAGATTGCCACCTGTTCTAAGAAAGCCTGGGACAGGTCCTGGTACAGGGCTTGCTGGTGGCAGGGTTCTTGTAGGAGAAGCATCTCTAAAGCAAGGGTCATTTGCTTTAAATCACATATGTGTATGTGTGACTTGTGAGCCAATAGATGATGTCCTGGCCCATAACTGTTGCATGCCAGTGGTTTGACATCATTAATTCTTGCATTTCTTTACAACTGCAAAGAAATGCAAGAATTGCAGCCTTTTTATACTCACAGGATAGTGACAAGTTAAGATTTAATTGCAGATTTCATCAGCACAGCAACCCGTTGTTTTTCCTGCAGCACCAACATGTGAAATACACATGGCTGACGGGTCTGCCATTAGCATCCGTCTGAAATCTTCATACAGATTTTGTTTTGTGTAGAAATCTTTATCTCATTTTCACCAGTTACTGCAGACCAGCCCAGCTCTGTAAATAGAAAACTGACAGCAGATGGAAGAATAAAATGGGACTTGGTGCAGACAGCTCCAAACCCAAGGGAGCTCTGCCGGGTCTGTGGCGTTCACCCTGTGCTTGCTGCCAGCGAGGGAGCAGCCCAGAGGGCTGCTTTGACCCAGATAGGCAGATTTCTTGCTGTGTTACAAGGAACAGCAGGATACAGCAGCCTCTAATTTCCACAGAGATGCTGGTCAGTCATCTGGTCGGACACATGTCTGATGAGCAGAAGTTGTGCAGTACATTACATCGTTATGCCGCTTAACAACTGCATATGCAGTAACAACAGCAAGAGGCAGCGTTAGAACTTTTTGTGGGTTTCATTTTCTCAGGGGCTCAAGTCATTTCTCACCATTCAAAGGGGAAGACTGAAATGTAGTAGAAGCAGGCACAGTGCGTGTTTCCACATTTAATCCTTCTTGTGCACCCTTCCTTTCACGTGGTGACTGCTTGAGGCTGCCCCCAAAAGGTGGCTGTCAGCAGCCTGTGCCGTGGTATGCGGGAACACCAAGTGTGGATTAGGCTGCAGTGATTTAATGCCTTTACACAGGATCTATTCCAAATGTGAATATTGGTCTCCTGAGAGAAAAATTGATATATTTACATACTGCATATCCAGCCACACATTTTAAAGCAGTATTTGAAAGCTCAGACAAGTGTTTCAGACAAAAAATGGTAACTGAGTCAGCAATCCCATATAACGGTGCAGCAGCATCATTAGAAAACAATGATTAGGAACAAGTTTAAAGAAGAAGTTACAGGTTGAGGAAAATGAGTTTCCATGACTCATGATTTGCAGGCCAAAGCAGTTGGACAAGTACATGCTCCAAAAGCTGGTGTTGCTCTCAGCTGTATGTGGGTCACTGTCTCGGAGCCAATTAACTTGGTGTGTGCTGGCTAATGACCTCTTTAATTCAAAGGCTGGAGTGGACTTCACCCACTGAGAAA